CCGGTCCCGGGGCCTCTCCCCTAGGTCGACTCGGCCTCAAATGAGTACCTGGTGCGGTGTGTAGTAAACATCGTCACTGGGGAGACAAAGGCGGTCGGGCGTGGTGGTGCTGGCCACCCACCCCCTTGTGTACCGTTCCGGCCTTCATAGGTGCTCGCTAACAGCACTTGCCCCTACAGTCTGTTACAGGCTACGCGGGGGATCTTTGCCTTTGTGTGTGTGTCACTGTGTGTGTGTGTGTGTGTCACTGTGTGTGTGTGTGTCACTGTGTGTGTGTGTGTCACTGTGTGTGTGTGTGTTTGTGTCACTGTGTGTGTGTGTTTGTGTCACTGTGTGTGTGTGTGTGTGTCACTGTGTGTGTGTGTGTGTGTCACTGTGTGTGTGTGTGTGTGTCACTGTGTGTGCGTGTGTGTGTCACTGTGTGTGTGTGTGTGTGTCACTGTGTGTGTGTGTGTGTCACTGTGTGTGTGTGTGTGTGTCACTGTGTGTGTGTGTGTGTGTCACTGTGTGTGTGTGTGTGTGTCAGTGTGTGTGTGTGTGTGTCACTGTGTGTGTGTGTGTGTGTCACTGTGTGTGTGTGTGTGTGTCACTGTGTGTGTGTGTGTCACTGTGTGTGTGTGTCACTGTGTGTGTGTGTGTCACTGTGTGTGCGTGTGTGTGTCACTGTGTGTCACTGTGTGTGTGTGTGTCACTGTGTGTGTGTGTCACTGTGTGTGTGTGTGTCACTGTGTGTGTGTGTGTGTGTCACTGTGTGTGTGTGTGTGTGTGTGTCACTGTGTGTGTGTGTGTGTCACTGTGTGTGTGTGTGTGTGTCACTGTGTGTGTGTGTGTGTCACTGTGTGTGTGTGTGTGTGTCACTGTGTGTGTGTGTGTGTGTCACTGTGTGTGTGTGTTTGTGTCACTGTGTGTGTGTGTGTGTGTCACTGTGTGTGTGTGTGTGTCACTGTGTGTGTGTGTGTGTGTCACTGTGTGTGTGTGTGTGTCACTGTGTGTGTGTGTGTGTCACTGTGTGTGTGTGTGTCACTGTGTGTGTGTGTGTGTCACTGTGTGTGCGCGTGTGTGTCACTGTGTGCGTGTGTGTGTGTCACTGTGTGTGTGTGTGTCACTGTGTGTGTGTGTGTGTGTCACTGTGTGTGTGTGTCACTGTGTGTGTGTGTGTGTGTCACTGTGTGTGTGTGTGTGTGTCACTGTGTGTGTGTGTGTGTCACTGTGTGTGTGTGTGTGTGTCACTGTGTGTGTGTGTGTGTGTCACTGTGTGTGTGTGTGTGTGTCACTGTGTGTGTGTGTCACTGTGTGTTTGTGTGTGTGTCACTGTGTGTGTGTGTGTGTGTCACTGTGTGTGTGTGTGTGTGTCACTGTGTGTGTGTGTGTCACTGTGTGTGTGTGTGTGTGTGTCACTGTGTGTGCGTGTGTGTGTCACTGTGTGTGTGTGTGTCACTGTGTGCGTGTGTGTGTGTCACTGTGTGTGTGTGTGTGTGTCACTGTGTGTGTGTGTGTGTCACTGTGTGTGTGTGTGTGTGTCACTGTGTGTGTGTGTGTGTGTCACTGTGTGCGTGTGTGTGTGTCACTGTGTGTGTGTGTGTCACTGTGTGTGTGTGTGTCACTGTGTGCGTGTGTGTGTGTCACTGTGTGCGTGTGTGTGTGTCACTGTGTGTGTGTGTGTGTCACTGTGTGCGTGTGTGTGTGTCACTGTGTGCGTGCGTGTGTGTCACTGTGTGCGTGTGTGTGTGTCACTGTGTGTGTGTGTGTGTGTCACTGTGTGTGTGTGTCACTGTGTGTGTGTGTGTGTGTCACTGTGTGTGTGTGTGTGTGTCACTGTGTGTGTGTGTTTGTGTCACTGTGTGTGTGTGTGTGTGTCACTGTGTGCGCGCGTGTGTGTGTCACTGTGTGTGTGTGTGTGTGTCACTGTGTGTGTGTGTGTGTGTCACTGTGTGTGTGTGTGTGTGTCACTGTGTGTGTGTGTGTCACTGTGTGTGCGCGTGTGTGTGTCACTGTGTGTGTGTGTGTGTGTCACTGTGTGTGTGTGTGTGTCACTGTGTGTGCGCGTGTGTGTGTCACTGTGTGCGTGTGTGTGTGTCACTGTGTGTGTGTGTGTGTGTCACTGTGTGTGTCACTGTGTGTGTGTGTGTGTGTCACTGTGTGTGTGTGTGTGTGTCACTGTGTGTGTGTGTCACTGTGTGTGTGTGTGTGTGTCACTGTGTGCGTGTGTGTGTGTCACTGTGTGTGTGCGTGTGTGTCACTGTGTGTGTGTGTGTGTGTCACTGTGTGTGTGTGTGTGTCACTGTGTGTGTCACTGTGTGTGTGTGTGTGTCACTGTGTGTGTCACTGTGTGCGTGTGTGTCACTGTGTGTGTGCGTGTGTGTCACTGTGTGTGTGCGTGTGTGTCACTGTGTGTGTGTGTGTGTGTCACTGTGTGTGTGTGTGTCACTGTGTGTGTGTGTGTGTGTCACTGTGTGTGTGTGTGTGTGTCACTGTGTGTGTCACTGTGTGTGTCACTGTGTGTGTGTGTGTGTGTCACTGTGTGTGTGTGTGTGTCACTGTGTGTGTGTGTCACTGTGTGTGTGTGTTTGTGTCACTGTGTGTGTGTGTGTGTGTCACTGTGTGTGTGTGTGTGTCACTGTGTGTGTGTGTCACTGTGTGTGTGTGTGTGTGTCACTGTGTGTGTGTGTGTGTCACTGTGTGTGTGTGTGTGTCACTGTGTGTGCGCGTGTGTGTCACTGTGTGCGTGTGTGTGTGTCACTGTGTGTGTGTGTGTGTGTGTCACTGTGTGTGTGTGTGTGTGTGTCACTGTGTGTGTGTGTGTGTCACTGTGTGTGTGTGTCACTGTGTGTGTGTGTGTGTGTCACTGTGTGTGTGTGTGTGTCACTGTGTGTGTGTGTGTGTCACTGTGTGTGTGTGTGTGTCACTGTGTGTGTGTGTGTGTGTGTCACTGTGTGTGTGTGTGTGTGTCACTGTGTGTGTGTGTGTGTGTCACTGTGTGTTTGTGTGTGTGTCACTGTGTGTGTGTGTGTGTGTCACTGTGTGTGTGTGTGTGTCACTGTGTGTGTGTGTGTCACTGTGTGTGTGTGTGTGTCACTGTGTGTGCGTGTGTGTGTCACTGTGTGTGTGTGTGTGTCACTGTGTGCGTGTGTGTGTGTCACTGTGTGTGTGTGTGTGTGTCACTGTGTGTGTGTGTGTGTCACTGTGTGTGTGTGTGTGTGTCACTGTGTGTGTGTGTGTCACTGTGTGCGTGTGTGTGTGTCACTGTGTGTGTGTGTCACTGTGTGTGTGTGTGTGTGTCACTGTGTGTGTGTGTGTGTGTCACTGTGTGTGTGTGTGTGTCACTGTGTGTGTGTGTGTGTCACTGTGTGTGTGTGTGTGTGTCACTGTGTGTGTGTGTGTGTGTCACTGTGTGTGCGTGTGTGTGTCACTGTGTGTGTGTGTGTGTCACTGTGTGCGTGTGTGTGTGTCACTGTGTGTGTGTGTGTGTGTCACTGTGTGTGTGTGTGTGTCACTGTGTGTGTGTGTGTGTGTCACTGTGTGTGTGTGTGTGTCACTGTGTGCGTGTGTGTGTGTCACTGTGTGTGTGTGTCACTGTGTGTGTGTGTGTGTGTCACTGTGTGTGTGTGTGTGTGTCACTGTGTGTGTGTGTGTGTCACGTCACTGTGTGTGTGTGTGTGTCACTGTGTGTGTGTGTGTGTGTCACTGTGTGTGTGTGTGTGTGTCACTGTGTGTGTGTGTGTGTGTCACTGTGTGTTTGTGTGTGTGTCACTGTGTGTGTGTGTGTGTGTCACTGTGTGTGTGTGTGTGTGTCACTGTGTGTGTGTGTGTCACTGTGTGTGTGTGTGTGTGTGTCACTGTGTGTGCGTGTGTGTGTCACTGTGTGTGTGTGTGTGTCACTGTGTGCGTGTGTGTGTGTCACTGTGTGTGTGTGTGTGTGTCACTGTGTGTGTGTGTGTGTCACTGTGTGTGTGTGTGTGTGTCACTGTGTGTGTGTGTGTGTGTCACTGTGTGCGTGTGTGTGTGTCACTGTGTGTGTGTGTGTCACTGTGTGTGTGTGTGTCACTGTGTGTGTGTGTGTGTGTCACTGTGTGCGTGTGTGTGTGTCACTGTGTGCGTGTGTGTCACTGTGTGTGTGCGTGTGTGTCACTGTGTGTGTCACTGTGTGTGTCACTGTGTGCGTGTGTGTGTGTCACTGTGTGCGTGTGTGTCACTGTGTGTGTGCGTGTGTGTCACTGTGTGTGCGTGTGTGTGTGTCACTGTGTGTGTCACTGTGTGTGTGTGTGTGTGTCACTGTGTGTGTGTGTGTCACTGTGTGTGTGTGTGTGTGTCACTGTGTGTGTCACTGTGTGTGTGTCACTGTGTGTGTGTGTGTGTCACTGTGTGTGTGTGTGTCACTGTGTGTGTGTGTGTGTGTCACTGTGTGTGTGTGTGTGTGTCACTGTGTGCGTGTGTGTGTGTCACTGTGTGTTTGTGTGTGTGTCACTGTGTGTGTGTGTGTGTGTCACTGTGTGTGTGTGTGTGTGTGTCACTGTGTGTGTCACTGTGTGTGTGCGTGTGTGTCACTGTGTGTGTGTGTGTGTGTCACTGTGTGTGTGTGTGTGTGTCACTGTGTGTGTCACTGTGTGTGTGTGTGTGTGTCACTGTGTGTCACTGTGTGTGTGTGTGTGTGTCACTGTGTGCGTGTGTGTGTGTGTCACTGTGTGTGTGTGTGTCACTGTGTGTGTCACTGTGTGTGTGTCACTGTGTGTGTCACTGTGTGTGTCACTGTGTGTGTGTGTGTCACTGTGTGTGTGTGTGTCACTGTGTGTGTGTGTGTGTCACTGTGTGTGCGTGTGTGTGTCACTGTGTGTCACTGTGTGTGTGTGTGTGTGTCACTGTGTGTGTGTGTGTGTGTCACTGTGTGTGTGTGTCACTGTGTGTGTGTGTGTGTGTCACTGTGTGTGTGTGTGTGTGTCACTGTGTGTGTGTGTGTCACTGTGTGTGTAAACACCTCCGCGTTGGCTCGCCTGTCCCTCGAGGTCCGAGATGCACAACAAGACGGTGAGCCAGCGGTTTGGCTTGCTACTCGAGGCCTACTGTCGTGCGTGTGGCATGTACCTCAAGCACCTGAACCGCCAGGTGGAAGCCATGGACAAACTCACCAACCTCACGGACATCCTCAAGCAGGAGAAACGAGACGAGACGCAGAAGGTACCCGCGGCGTTGGGGAGGGGGAGGGAGAGAGATGGTGGGGGGAGATGGTGGGGGGAGATGGTGGGGAGGGAGGGAGATGGTGGGGGGAGATGGTGGGGGGAGGGAGATGGTGGGGGGAGAGGGAGATGGTGGGGGGAGGGAGATGGTGGGGGGAGGGAGGGAGATGGTGGGGGGGGGGAGGGAGATGGTGGGGAGGGAGGGAGATGGTGGAGGGAGATGGTGGGGGGAGGGAGGGAGATGGTGGGGGGAGGGAGATGGTGGGGGGAGAGGGAGATGGTGGGGGGAGGGAGATGGTGGGGGGGGAGGGAGGGAGATGGTGGAGAGGGAGGGAGATGGTGGGGGGAGGGAGATGGTGGGCGGAGGGGGAGGGAGATGGTGGGGAGGGAGATGGTGGAGGGAGAGGGAGATGGTGGAGGGGGAGGGAGGGGGATGGTGGGGGGGAGGGAGGGAGATGGTGGGGGGGAGGGGGTGGGAGATGGTGGGGGGAGGGAGGGAGATGGTGGAGGGGGAGGGAGGGAGATGGTGGAGGGGGAGGGAGGGAGGGAGATGGTGGAGGGGAGGGAGGGAGATGATGGGGGGAGGGAGATGGTGGGGGGAGGGAGAGGGGGAGGGAGGGAGATGGTGGGGGGAGGGAGATGGTGGGGGGAGGGAGATGGTGGGGGGAGGGAGGGAGATGGTGGGGGGAGGGAGGGAGGGAGATGGTGGGGGGAGGGAGGGAGGGAGGGAGATGGTGGGGGGAGGGAGGGAGATGGTGGAGGGGGAGGGAGGGAGACGATGTGGAGTGAGTTGAGGTTTCTATCATCTCCCCCCACCTGCCACCCACACC